TTTATTTTAAAAATAATTTTTAAATTTAAAACAAGGCGTGGATATTTATAACCTACACAACTATGTTGTCAGGGTATTATAGCTTTGTGCAGTCCCAAGAGTTTGTAACGCCTCGTAATATTGGTCCAAGACCCACCTTTAAGTATACCGATTGTCATATATCGACTAGCTGAGTCGATTTTCCAAGACCCTTTTTTGACAAACCTTAATGCAGCTTGTGAATGTTTTTTATACTCATCGAAATAATAATTTCCGACCCTATAAAGTATATATATTCTTGATCAGCTTAAAGTTCTATATACGATATAGCCATGATCGTCTGTCCCTCTGTCTGTTGTAATCACTCTAGCGTCTAAACGATTTAAGATAGATGGCCAACATTTTGCATAGGGTCATCTTTTGTCTGCAGGCAGGTCAAGTTCGAAGATGGTCTTTATCGGTCCACGTTTAGGCATAGCTCCCATATAAGAATACCCCCCAAGTTTTCGGTATTTTGGGATTCTTGAGCGCGTTTTTCAATCGAAATTGCTGAAATTTGCAACATTGGGTTCTTATTGGGTACTAAGTGTTTCCACAAAAAATTATGAATATAGGTCCACTTTTTCTGGTAGCCCCCATATAACGCTACCTCCTAATTTTCAGTATTTTGGGGGGTTTGATCGTATTTTTCAACCGAATTCGCTGAAATTCGGTACTTTGAGTTCTTATTGGGTAGCAAATATATATACTACTCTCTATACTAAGAATTATACATATAGGTAAAGTTTTTCGGGTAGCCCCCATATAAGAGTACCCCCCAAATTTTCGGTATTTTGGGGTTCTTGAGCGCGTTTTTGAATCGAAATCGCTGAAATTTGTTACATTGGGTTCTTATTGGGTACTAAATTTCCCCACTAAAAATTATAAATATAGGTCCACTTTTTCTGGTAGACCCCATATAACGGTACCTCCTAATTTTCAGTATTTTGGGGGTTTTGGTGGTATTTTTCCGCCGAATCAGCTGTAATTTAGTATTTTGAGTTCTTAATAGGTACCAAATCTCTCAACAAAAAAAGTATAAATATATGTCCATTTTTTTCGGATAGCCCCCATATGAGGGTATCCTCCAATTTTCGATATTTTGGATTTCTTGAACGCCGTTTTCAACCGAATTCGTTGTAATTTGGTCGTATATGGTAACACATCTCCCTACCAAAAATTATTAATATTCGCCCGCTTTTTTGGGGTAGTCCCCATAAAACCCCCTTTTTATACCCTTCACCACACTGTGTTACAGGGTATTATGTCTTTGTGCCTGTGTTTGTGACAGGCAAAAGGAAACGAGATAGACACATGGTTCCTTTTGAGAATATGCATAGAATCACTTTCTAAGTCGATTTACGCATGTCCGTCCGTCCGTCTGTCTGTCCATGTTAAATTGTAAACAAAGTTCAGGTCGCATTTATTATTCGAATTGGATGAAATTTGGCACGTGTCACCTATTTGACCCAAGAACGAACCCTATTGAAATTGGGAAAAAATCGGTTCAGATTTAGACATAGCTTCCATATATATTTTTGTCCGATTTAAGGTAAATGATGGCATAGTTTACTGAATGAAGTCAATAATGATGTGTGTTAAGTTTCCTGAAAATCGGTTCAGATTTAGATATAGCTCCCATATATATTTTCGTCCGATTTCAGGTAAATGGGACACCAAAGTCCCTAAATATCTTTCGATTTGCATGAAATTTAGCATAGTGTAATAAATTAAGTCTATAATGATGTGTGCTAAGTTTCGTGGACATCGGTTCAGTTTTAGATATAGCCCCCATATATATTTTCGTCCGATTTAATGTAAATGGTGTACCAAAGTCCCTAAATATCTTTCGATTTGCACGAAATTTGGCATAGAGTTTTGAATTATGTCAAAAATGATGTGTGTTAAGTTTCCTGAAAATCGGTTCAGATTTAGATATAGCTTCCATATATATTTTCGTCCGATTTAATGTAAATGGTGTATCAAATCCCTATATATATCTTTCAATTTGGACAAAATTTGGCATATCTTAATGACTTAGGTCTAGAATGATGTGTATTAAGTTTCCTGAAAATCGATCCAGATTCAGATATAGCTCTCATATATATTTCGTGCGATTTAATATAAATGGTGTACCAAAGTTTCTATATATCCTTCGATTTGGACAATTTGGCAAAGTGTAATAAATTAAGTTTATAATGATGTGTGCTAAGTTTCGTGGACATCGGTTCAGATTTAGATACAGCTCCCATATATATTTTCGTCCGATTTAATGTAAATGGTGTACCAAAGTCCCTATATATATCTTTCAATTTGGACAAAATTTGGCATAGCTTAATAACTTAGATCTAGAATGATGTGTGTTAAGTTTCCTGAAAATCGGCTCAGATTAGTGTAATATATTTTTCGTCCGATAAGTAAATGGTTCACCAGAGACCCAAAGGTAGGCCGATTGACACAACGTACAGAAGTTAATTTAACCTAGTGTTTGGAAAGTTTTGATCTCGGTTCAGATTTGGATAGAGTTTCGATTAAATCGGCTTGTATATATATATATATATATATATATTAGCTTTAAATTGATTTACATAATTTAAAGTGGTGAAGGGTATCATATAATTGGCTCCGTCCGACTTTACTACTTTCCTTACTGGTTATTCTATGGCGTATATATTTGCTCCTGAAGGACATAGACCCGAGAAGTTAATAGTATATCCAAGAGGAGGGGTTGACCTTTAAATTAATACCAATTATATTGTCGTATGTACTCAGATGTGGGAGTTAGACTTAAATCTTTACAGGTTCTTACGTACTGAGTTATTATTTAGTAACCCATTACCACACTAGAGGGCGGAAATATAGCGCTGATTGCTTTGAAAATTTCCATGAGGTTCCTTTTGTGGTCAAGGACAACGCCTATAATTGTCAGTGATGATCAGATAATAATTTTGGCATAAAGTGGACCAAAAACTTAATTTTTTGTGTTTTTTTTTTTGTGCCGATCTGTAGGCCACAATTGATAGCCGAACATCACAACACAGCTCACGGTTAACGGAATCTGAACAAGTGATTAGAAGGGCTGTACAGAATATTAGTAATATTGGGAATATATCTAAGTGTAAGGAAGAGGTGCAGTTGACCTCTAATCGGGCAAGAGTGTGCAAATATCACAATATATTGGCCAGGCTATGAATAAATATCCGCAGAATTTTAGAATTCCGTGTAAGTTGTGTAGGGTATCGTATGGTCGGCCACGTCCGACTATACTGCAATGAGCAATATTTCGTGATATTTGAACCCTCTTGCCCGATAAGAAGTCATCAACACCTCTTCCTTACACTGACATATTTTCCGCAAATATTACAGTCCTTCTAATTACTTGCCCAGATTCCCTTCACTATGGGTTATATGGTGAATTTCGGCTTACAATTGTGGTCTATATATTGACTCAAAAAATACAAAAAATTAAGTATTCAGGTCCACTTCATCCCTAAATTATTATTTGATAATCACCGAAAATTATAGGCGTTGTCATTGACCATAACTGGAACCTCATGGAACATTTCAAAGCGATCAGCGCTATATTTCCACCCTCTAGTGTGGTAATGGTTTATTAAATAATATCTGAATACGTAAGCACCTGTAAATATTTAATTGTAACTCCCTCATCCGAGTACATACGACCATATAATTATCTACTTAAAGGTCAACCACTCCTCTTGGATATACTATCAACTTCTCGAGTCTATGTCCTTCAGGGGCAAATATATACACCATAGAATATAAATTTTGTAATTTTTCACACAAAAGTCAGGGTCCATTTGACCCGTTAAATAATGACCGATCTTTATCAAAACAGGTATGCTTATTCTTTGGCTCATTCCCCTTCTCTATGTAAATGTTCGAGATGTTTGGGCCATAATTGCGGCCTATGGAGCGACCTGAAAAACCGACAAAAATTAAGTATTTGGTCAATTCCATCCCAGAGATTGGTCCACAACTGTGGCCTGTATCGTGTTTACAAATTATAATGGATAGACGGACGGACACACATGTCTAGATCGACTTAGCTAGTCGAGATATGACGATCGGTATACTTAAAGATGGGTCTAGGACCAATATTTTGCGGCATTACAAACTTTTGGGGCTGCACAAAGCTATAATACCCTGACAACATAGTTGTGTAGGGTATAAAAATAATTTTTTTTTTAATAAAAAAAATTTCCAAAATTTTTTAATAAAAAAATTTCAAAAAATTTTTTTTGACCCACCTTAATGCAGTTTGTGAATATTTTTCTTTTCAAATATAATCGCAGATGTTCCAAGCAACGTGTGATGTAAAATGCACTCACATGTTTTTTGTGTTTTACAACAACAATAAATATAGTTATGATCTATTCGAATTAACATTTCATTTATTAATTTTTATGAGTTTAGTATGCAAATTTCAATTTACAACTCAATAACGCTTTACAATTTCCTTAATTGCAGATGTTCATAGTGATACGAGGGAATCAGTAGAGTAGAGTAGATCGCCTTGAAGAAGACCTGAAGGTATTTTTCTTAATAAAGATATTTTTCATAGTTAAAAATAATTTAAAAATTATTTTTTTAATTTTTAATAATTGAAAAAAAAAAATATTTTTTTAAAAAGTACAAAATTAAAAAAAACAACAAAAATTTAGGCCTTTCTGTAGCTTCTTCAAAAAACCCCATTAACAAATAAAACAAATCCCATTTTTTTAATACTTCATTTTTATTATTTATTTTTATTAAAAAAAATCTTAACAACAATGAACATTATAAAACAATGATTAGATTTCTTTAATACAATAACAAATACTAATACAAATACATATATATTTTTTATATTGTAACAACAAAAAAAAATCAGGTATTATGGTACGACTTGAAAACTAATGTTAGGCGGCGGAATGGCAAGTTTATTAATTGTTATCTTTTTATTATTTTTTTCTCCTATTTTAAATAAAATATTTGGCTAATGTTAAGAGAGCTACAACTAATGACAAGCTTTGACCCAGTAAATTACGCAAAATATTTCGTTGTCTCAGACTATAACCAGAGCTGCTGGTTGTCTCCGTTGCGGGTAGACGAGCCATGGCCGTAATTTGTTCCTCGTCCAATTTTGGTCGATAATTCCAATCGATACGATTCGTCTTACAGATGTGTGCAAAAACGCGAGCCGATATTTTTGGGGTACGTCTGCGATGGGGATCATTGAAATCGACATGATATAAACCGAATTTTTCCCTATAGCCAGAGAGGAGAATTCTTTAAATATTGTTTTTGTTTTTCTTTATTTCGAAATTTTTTTTACTCACGTAAATCCAGCCTTCCACTCATAGCTGTCCATTAGACTCCAGGCAATATAACCCTGAACATTAGCACCATCTTCCAGGGCATCCAATACGAAATTCAAATACTGATTGTAGTAGTCGACGCGTGCGTAATCCTCCAGGCCACCACGATCACTGGTACCGCTTTCCGTTACAATCATCGGTGGGTTATTGTATTCCTTTTTGATCCACATCAAGAGATTGTAGATGCCCTTGGGATAGACCTGAAGAGAAAAATGCAATTTAGAGAAAAACATTTTTAAATCTAAACCAGTAAGGAAAGTAGTAATGTGGGACTGGGCCGATTATATGATACCCTTCACCACTTTGGATATATTGTACATATGTATCCTTACAATGCATGTCAATGTTTCCTCCAAGGAACATACTCATGTCTTTCTGCAACCTCTGATAAATTTAATTTCATTCGGGAAGATTTAGAGTCGTCTGCGTACCATAGGTCACATGTGTGGCAAACGATTTATAGCAAAATTTATACACAAAATCTAAACCGAGTTTTCCTAAACTTACCACATATAATTCCAGACTCAATTCAGTTCGCTATGCCAAATTTCGTGCAAATCGAAAGTTATATAGGGACTTTGATGCACCATTTACAAAAAATCCGACGAAAATATATATGGGAGCTATATCTAAATCTGGGCCCATTTTCCCGAAACATGCTACCCCTCCTTTTAGACCCAATGCAGTACGCTATGTCAAATTTCGTGCAAATCGAAGGATATAATGGGACAGTTGTGCACTATTTACCTAAAATAGGTCGAAAAAATATATGGGAGCTATATCTAAATCTTAACCGGTTTTCACGAAATTTAAGACACACCGTTCTAGACATAATTCAGTACGCCTTGCCAAATTTCGTGCAAATCGAAGGATATATAAGGACTTTGGTGCACTTTTTATATAAAACCGGACGAAAATATATATGGGAGCTATACCTAAATCTGAACCGATTTTCTCGAAACTCACCACACATCATTCTGGACTTAATTCAGTACGCTATGCCAAATTTCGTGCAAATCGAACGATTTTCAGGGACTTTGGTGCACCATTTACCTAAAATCGGACAAAACTATATATGAGAGCTATATATTAATCGAAACCGATTTTCTCGAAACTGGACACACGTCATTCTAGACTCAATTCAATACACTATGCAAAATTTCCAGCAAATCGAAAGATATATACGGACTTTGGTACACCAATTACATAAAATCGGAAAAAACTATATATGGGAGCTATATATGAAACTGAACCGATTTCCTCGAAACTTGACACATGTCATTCTAGACTCAATTCAGTACCCTATGCAAAATTTCCCGCAAATCAAAAGATATATAGGGACGTTGGGGCACCATTTACATAAAATCGGACAAAATTATATATGGGAGCTATATCTAAATCTGATCCGATTTTCTCGAAACTTGACACACGTCATTCTAGATTTAATCCAGTACACTACGCAAAATTTTTCGCAAATCGAAATATATATAGAGACTTTGTTATATAGGGACTTACCTTAAATCGGACGAAGATATATATGGGAGCTATATCTAAATCTGAACCGATTTTCTCGAAATTTAACACACGTTATTCTAGACTTAATTCAGTACACTTTGCAAAATTTCCTGCAAATCGAAAGATATATAGGGCTTTGGTTCCCCATTTAAATTAAATCGGACAAAACTATATATGGGAGCTATATCTTAATCTGACCCGATTTTCTCGAAACTTGACACACGTCATTCAGGACCTAATTCAGTACTCTATGCTAAATTTCGTGCGAATCGAAAGATATATAGGGACTTTGGTGCCCCATTTACCTAAAATCGGACGAAGATATATATGGGAGCTATATCTAAATCTGAACCGATTTTCTCAAAATTTAACACCCGTCATTCTGGACCTAATTCAGTACTCTTTGCCAAATTTCGTGCGAATCGTAAGATATATAGGGACTTTGGTGCACCATTTACCTAAATCGAGCGAAACTATATATGCGAGCTTTATCTAAATCTGAACCGATTTCCTTCAATTTCAATAGGGTTCGTCCTTGGGCCAAATAAGTGACTAGTGCCAAATTTCATCCAAATCGAATAATAAATGCGACCTGTACTTTGTTTAAAATTTAACATCTACAGACGGACGGACGGACATGCATAAATCGACTCAGAAAGTGATTCTATGCATATTCTCAAAAGGAACCATGTGTCTATCTGGTTTCCTTTTACCTGTTACAAACACATTCACAAAGACATAATACCCTGTACCACAGTGTGGTAAAGGATATAAAAAAATCAAACTTTGAAAAAAATATCTAAAAAGATCATCGCATTAAAATATATTTTAAAAAATCCATGCCCTACAAAATATTTAAAAAAATTCCCGACCTTGAAGAAATATTTTTTAAAAAATCCACGCCGTGAAGAAATATATTTTTTTTAATCCACGCCTTGAAAAAATATTTTTTAAAAAATCCACACCTTGAAAAAATATTATTTTTTTTTTAAAAAATCCACGCCTTGAAAAAATATTTTTCTAAAAAATCCACGCCTTGAAAAAATATTTTTTTCTAATCCAAGCCTTGAAAAAATATTTTTTAAAAAATACCACGCCTTGACAAAATGAATTTAAAAACGCCTTGAAAAAATATTTTTTAAAAAATCCACGCCTTGAAAAAATATTTTTTAAAAAATCTACGCCTTGAAAAAATATTTAAAAAAATCAACGCCTTGAAAAAATATTTTTTTTTCATCCACGCCTTGAAAAAATATTATTTTTTAATCCACGCCTTGAAAAAATATTTTTTTTCATCCACGCCTTGAAAAAATATTATTTTTTAATCCACGCCTTGAAAAAATATTTTTTTTCATCCACGCCTTGAAAAAATATTTTTTAAAAAATCCACGCCTTGAAAAAATATATTTTTTAAAAATCCACGCCTTGAAAAAAATTTTTTTTTTAAATCCACGCCTTGAAAAAATATTTTTTTAAATCCACGCCTTGAAAAATATTTTTTTTTAAATCCACGCCTTGAAAAAATATTTTTTTAAAAAATTCCCGGCCTTGAAAAAATATTTTTTAAAAAACCCACGCCTTGAAAAAATATTTTTTAAAAAACCCACGCCTTGAAAAAATATTTTTTTTAAATCCACGCCTTGAAAAAATATATTTTTTTAAATCCACGCCTTGAAGAAATATATATTTTTTTTAAATCCACGCCTTGAAAAAATATTTTTGAAAAAATCAACGCCTTGAAAAAATATTTTTGAAAAAATCAACGCCTTGAAAAAATATTTTTTTTAAATCCACGCCTTGAAAAAATATTTTTTTTAAATCCACGCCTTGAAAAATATATTTTTTTAAATCCACGCCTTGAAAAAATATTTTTTAAAAAATCCACGCCTTGAAAAAATATTTGTTAAAAAATCCACGCCTTAAAAAAATATTTTTTAAAACTCAACGCTTTGAAAAAAATATTTTTTGAAAGATCTACACCTTTAAAAAAATATTTTTTAAAAAATCTACGCCTTCCTCCCCATTAATCTCCACCTATTCTCCATCTAATAGCCCACCTTCACTTTATCATCAATTTACGATTATTTTTGTTGTTGTTGTTGTTTTCATTAAATGTCATAATAAATTTCCGAATCAATTTCCATTTCGATTCAATTTCTATGGTCCATTAACTATAGGTTAAGGTTAAGGTTCCACCTGCCGTCATCGTAGTCGTCCACTTTTTTTTTAATGTCGACAACAAAATAAGCGACTCGATCTTATTAATCTGTCTAATAACTTACATCGATTACAAGAACAACAGCAATTACAAAAACAACAACAACGAATGGAGGCATTAATAATTACAAAGTTTGTGAAAATGGATTTGCTAAACAAAAATTCAGGTGCAGGTGGTTGACTGGCTGGTTAGTTGGTTGGTTTTGTGTTAGGAGGTTGCTAAGCTGCCTATCGGCTGCTGGTTGGCTGGCCGACTAGTTACCGAACCATGTAATTTGCGTAGGAAAGCAGAAGTAAAACCCCAGCAGCAGTTCAAAAAACAAGTCCACCAAAAATCAAGAAATATAAATTTGGAGGTGGAGGGTCCTCAAGCTACTTTTTCAGCATCCGCCACACTTTATAAAAATATTCATTAAAGAATAAACTTTACTCACCCTAAGCCACACCGAACCCGATCACGGTCAATATTCTTTAAAAAATAAACGTTACTCACCCTAAGCCACACCGAACCCGATCCCGGCCAATTGGGATCCTGGGACTCCACCACACCCATGTCATGATTAAATGAAGGTATGGGAAACTTTGCCGAATTGTTGTGATCATTACTGGTCACCAGTGAGGTAGTGTAGGTGTTGATGCCAAAGAAGTCGGCGGTGCCACGGATTCGTTGAATCTCCTCTTTGGTAAATTCGGGTAGACGAGAGCGTGTAAAACCCTGTTCCTTACTTAGATTGCGAATGCGATCAATCATGGTGGCTGGATAGTTGCCATGGATGGAGAAAATCGGATGGCCAAACCAACCAACCTGAAAAAAACAACAACAAAAATTTAATCAAGTTATAAATTTGCGGAATTTTTGTTTCCCAACTTACATAGAATTCCAAAGCCCTTTGCGAAGCCTCATGATCTTCCTGAGAATTAGACTTAGGTTCCATCCACGATGTATCCAGTGTGATACCCATACGTCCACCCTGACGTTTCTTATATTCCGCCCGATACATATGCACCACTTCGGCATGGGCCTTCAACAGATTATGACCACACAGATATGCCGGTATTCCGGGATAATTATATGCCGGTGCCATATAATCGACACCATAACCATGTTCACAAACATGCCATGGTTCATTAATGGTAGTCCATATTTTCACGCGATCACCAAACATCTCTAGCAGAAGGCGGGCGTAATCCTTGAATAGTGGAATAATTTCGGGATTTGTCCAACCGCCTAACTCCTGTAGGCGTTGTGGCAAATCCCAATGATACATGGTGACCATGGGCGTAATGTTGTAGTGCAGCAGCTCATCGATCAGGCCACTATAGTATTTGATGCCAGCCGTACTGACCTGATTCATATGGCCACCGGGCATTATCCTTGGCCAGGATATGGAAAAGCGATAGGTTTTCACATGCAGCTCACGGACCATTTGAACGTCGCGACGCCACTGGAAGCAAATTAAAACAAAAATAAATTAATTGGGAAAAAATACTTAAAAAAAAATTCTCAAAAAAATATTTAAAAAAAATCATGCCTTAAAAAAAGTTTCCAAAAAATTTAAAAAAGTCCACGCCCCGAAAAAAATCTCCAAAAAAATCAATTTTTTATGCCCTACACAACTATGTTGTCAGGGTATTATAGCTTTGTGCAGCCCCAAGAGTTTGTAAAGCCGCGAAATATTGGTCCTAGAACCACCGATCGTCATATCTCGACTAGCTGAGTCGATTTAGACATGTGTGTCCGTCCGTCCGTCCGTCTGTCCATTATAATTTGTAAACACGATACAGGACACAGTTATAGACCAATCTTCACGAAATTTTGCATATAGGATGGGTTCTGCCCAATGAAGACCCCTATTGTTTTTGGTAAGGATCGGTTAATATTTAGGGGATGAAATGGACAAAAATCCTATTTTTTGTCTGATTTTCTGGTCGCTCCAGAGGCCGCAATTATTTTTACATGGAGAATGGGATCGGTCCAAAGTATAAGCATGTCTGTTTCGATAGGGATTGGTCAATATTTAGCGGGTCAAATGGACCCTGTCTTGTGTGTGAAAAATAAAAATTTGTATTCTATGGCGTTTATATTTACTCCTGAAGGACATAGACCCCAAGAGGGGTGGTTGTCCTTAAAATTGCCGGGCAAGCGGGTGTAGATATCACGAAATATTGCCCAGGCTCGGAATAAACATCCGCATCATATGATACCCTACACAACTTCCACGAAAATCTAACTTTGTTTTGTTCTATATTCTGATCTTGGGCAATATTTGCACTCCCTTGACCTCCACCGTGGGTTGTGTTGTTATGTTCGGATTTCAATTGCGGATCGAGTCGAAAAAACACAAACAATTACATTTTCGCTCCGCTTCATCCCAAAATAATATCTGATCATCACCGAATATTATAGGCGTTGTCCTTGGCCCATAACTGGAACCTCATGGAACATTTCAAAGCGATCAGCGCTATATTTCCGCCATCTAGGGTGGTAATAGGTGACTAAATAACATTTGAATACGTAAGCACCTGTAAATATTTACGTGTAACTCCCACATCCGAATACATACGACAATGTAATTGGTACCAATTTGAAGGCCAACGACTCCTCTTGGATATATTTTCAACTTCTTTGGTCCATGTCATTCAGGGGTAAATAAATACGTTAAGTCAGGGTCCATTTGACCTGCTAAATATTGACCGATCTTTATCAAAACAGGCATGTTTATTCTTTGGCCCAATCCCCTTCTCCATGTAAAAACTCGAGATGTTTGGGCCATAATTGCGACCTCTGGAACGACCAGAAAAGCCGACAGAAATTAAGTACTGACCTGATTCATATGGGCGCCGGGCATTGTCCTTGGCCAGGATATGGAAAATATTGACCGATCTTTATCAAAACAGGCATGCTTATTCTTTGGCCCAATCCCATTTCCCATGTAAAATTCGAGATGTTTGGGCCAAAATTGTGGCCTCTGGAGCGACCAGAAAAGCCGACAAAAATTAATTATTTGGTCCATTTCATCCCCTAAATATTAACCGATCTTTACCAAAAACAATAGGGGTCTTCATTGGGCCGAACCCATCCTGTGGCCTGTATCGTGTTTAAAAATTATACTGGACAGATGGAATACCCTGGCAACATAGTTGTGTAGGGTATACAAATATATTTGTTTTTATTTTAAATACAAATATTCAAAGTTAGTTACGTTTTGATTTCCTTGATTTAATTGCATTCCTCTTGACATTCGTAATGAGAGTGTACATACATACTAACACATATATATATATATATATATATGTTATCAATTACTAATTCAGGTTACTTTATGTATTTCATATTAACTCAACCAGTCACCCTGGTGTGCGGTCACAACATTCCTACGACCACTTCCACTATGCAAATTGTTCGGGTGTGTATGTGTTTGCCGACAATTTTGAAGTGCGATTATGACATATGTTCGTCCAACATCGTCTATTTGCAAAATTCAAAAAAAAAAAATCTGAATATTCGTATTCGAAATTATGACGTTTGACGTTGCATACAAACTTGTTAATGGAGGTCATTACAGCCGAGCTCTGTTGTTCTGTTTTATTCTCCTTTTTTGCATTTTTTTTTTGTAATTCGCGGTGTTGTTCGTGTTTTTTTGTCCATAACATAACAACAAATCAAGTTTATTCAAAAAAAAAAAAAAACATCAATCGGAATTTAGTTGGAGTCATTTTTCACCATTTAAACACGTTAAGTGGCAAACATCTGTCAAATAATCTCTATGGGCCGGTCGGTTCATTCAGAAGCATACAACCGAAATGTTAAAAAGGGGAGGGAGGTGCAATGTGTGTTTCATTCTATTGACCTTATAGCGTAATTAAGATGCAATCTGTTATAGTTGCGGTAAAAATTATTCGTCACGCTTTAATTCATTTATTTATTAAGTCGTTTCGAAGTAAATAACTTAATCCGCCATTGATTCTAGAATTAATTACATTCTATATCGAATTTTGTCATACTAATAAATTATTCATTTCGTTGAATCGATTTTTTGAAGTTCCGGGAACTTTTTTAATATTTTTTTTTTCAAATACTTTCTATAGGCGTGGATTTTTAAGGACCCACCTCTTGACCGTGAATTTTTTAAAAATATTTTTTATCTTTTATAGGCGTGAATATTTATACCCTTCACCACACTGTGGTACAGGGTATTATGTCTTTGTGCATATGTTTGTAACAGGCAAAAGGAAACGAGATAGACACATGGTTCCTTTTGAGAATATGCATAGAATCGATTTACGCATGTCGGTCCGTTCGTCCGCCCGTCTGTCTATCCGTCCATGTATTTTTGTGAACAAAATACAAGTCGCATTTATGATCTGATTTGGATAAAATTTGGCATAGGTCACATATTTGGCCCAAGGACGAACCCTATTGAAATTGGGACAAATCGATTCAGATTTATATATAGCTCCCATATATAGTTTCGTCCGATTTAACGTAAATGGTGCACCAAAGTGCCTATATATCTTTCGATTTGCAAGAAATTTGGCATAGCGTATTGAATACAGTTTAAATTAATGAGTGGTAAGTTTCTGGAAAATCGGTTCAGATTTAGATATAACTCCCATATATATTTTCGTCCGATTTAATGTAAATGGTGCCCCAAAGTCCCTATATATCTTTCGATTTGCACGAAATTTGGCAGAACGTAATGAATTAGGTCTAGAATGATGTGTGTTAAGTTTCCTGAAAATCGGTTCCGATTTAGATATAGCTTCCATATATATTTTCGTCCGATCTAAGGTAAATGGTGCTCCAAAGTCCCTATATATCTTTCGAATTACACGAAATTTGGCACAGCGTAATGAATTAGGTCTAGAATGATGTGTGTTAAGTTTCGTGAAAATCGGTTCAGATTTAGATATAGCTCCCATATATATTTTCGTCCGATTTAATGTAAATGGTCCGCAATGTCCCTTTATATCTTTCGATTTGCACGAAATTTGGGACAGCGTAATGAATTAGGTCCAGAATGATGTGTGCTAAGTTTCGTGAAAATCGGTTCAGATTTAGATATAGCTCCCATGTACATTTTCGTCCGATTTAATGTAAATGGTCACCAAAGTCAATATATATCTTTCGATTTGCACGAAATTTGGCACAGCGTAATGAATTCGGTCTAGAATGATGTGTGTTAAGTTTCGTGAAAATCGGTTCAGATTTAGATATAGCTCCCATATATATTTTCGTCCGATTTAATGTAAATTGTGCACCAAAGTCCCTCTATATCTTTCGATTTGCACGAAACTTGGCACAGCGTAATGAATTAGGCCTAGAATGATGTGTCTTAAGTTTCCTGAAAATCGGTTCAGGTTTATGTATAGCTCCCATATATATTTTTGTCCGATTTAATGTAAATGGTGCACCAAAGTCCCTATATATCCTTCGCTTTGCACGAAATTTGGCATATCGTACTGAATAATGTCTAGAATGATGTGTGTTAAGTTTCCTGAAAATCGGTTCCGAGTTAGATATAGCTTCTATATCTGACCAAATGAAAAATTTAGTATAGGTTGCAGAATGACATGTTTATGAGTCCACTTTCATTTTACTGGTCTTTTAAAAATGCAACGTCTGTTAGGATTCATTTGTCGAATTTACCCAAAGTGGTGAAGGGTATCATATAGTCGGCCCCGTCCGACTTTACTACTTTCCTTACTTGTTTAAAAATATATTTTTTAATACTTCTGGTTTTTTGATAAATATTTTTGTTTAAAAATATTTTTTAAATCCTTCTGGTTTTTTATAAATATTTTTCATGCTCCTTCTGTCGGCGTAATTTTTCTTAAATATTTTTTCAAGTTCTTCTTCTATTTCTATGCCTGAAATATTATTAGAAGTCCGTATGACTACTTCTCTTGCCAACTGTTGTATGTGTTAGACATGTAGCGCGTGGCATTATACATATTTATGTTTTTTGTTTAACTCGGTCTTCTCTTTACAAGATAACACCGACTGTCCGACAATTGTTTTGTGTCCACAACCAACAATAACAACTCGAACAACTGCTACCACAGTTAGGAGATGTTAATCTGTTTGACTTCAATTAACTTCGCGGCGATTTGTCCGATGTAATTTGTACAAACAATCATGATTTAAGTCAAGGTATATTGGGGTGAAGCGTTTTTCGAATTCCTCCGAAGCACATCTATTATTTTAAAACTGTTTTGGAAAGAGAATGTTTTCTCAAAAAATATTTAAAACCAATGAGCGGAGCAGTATAGTCGGACGGGGTCGACCATACGATACCCTACACAACTACCACGGAACCGTAACTTTCTGCGGATGTTTATTCCAAGGCTGCTCAATATTTAGTGATATCTACACCCGGTTGTCTGATTAGAGGTCAACAGCACGTTTTCCTTACACTGACATATTTTCCGAATATTACTAATATTCAGTACAGTCCTTCTAATTACTTGTCCATATTCCCTTCACCGTGGGTTGTGTTGTGATGTTCGGCTTATAATTGTGGTCTATATATCGACTCAAAAAAACACAAAAAATTAAGTTTTCGATCCACTTCATTCCAAAACCGGAACAGTAACTTTCTGTGGATGTTTATTCCAAGCCTGGGTAATATTTCGTGATATCTACACCCGGTTGCCCGATAGAGGTCAACAGCACATCTTCCTAACACTGACATATTTTCCGAATATTACTAATATTCTGTACAGTCATTCAAATTACTTGTCCATATCCCCTTCACCGTGGGTTGTGTTGTGATTTTCGGCTTTCAATTGTGGCCTATAGATCTACTCGAAAAAAACACAAAATTATTATCTGATCATCACCGAAAATTATAGGCGTTGTCCTTAATCATAACTGGAACCTCATGGAACATTTCAAAGCGATCAGCGCTTTAATTCCGCCCTCCAGTGTGATAATGTGTTTCAAATATAATAACTGAATACAGAAGCACCTGTAAATATTTACGTATAACTCCCACATCCGGGTACATTCGACAATATAATTGGTATCAATTTAAAGGTCATACACCCCTCTTGGATATACTATCAACTTCTCGGGTCTATGTCCGTCAGGAGTAAATATATACGCTTTAGAATATAAATTTTCTCATTTTTCACACAAAAGTCAGGATCCATTTGACCCGATAAATATTGACCGATCTTTACCAAAACCGGCATGGTTATTCTTTGGCCCAATCCCCTTCTCAGTGTAAAAACTCGCAATGTTTGGTCCATAATTGCGGCCTCTAGAGCGACCTGAAAATCAGACCAAAAATAAAATTGTTGGTCCATTTCGTCCCCAAAATATTAACCAAAATTTCAAAGATTGGTCCATAACTGTGGCCTGTATCGTGTTTACAAATTATAATGGACAGACGGACGGACACACATGTCTAGATCGACTCAGCTAGTCAAGATATGACGATCGGTATACTTAAAGGTGGGTCTAGGACAAAGTTCACCAAACAGGCGCCCGCGGGCGCTTTGGGAGAGTACCAATACAATCACTGTTCTGTGTTCGAACTCAACATTATTCTCGACATCGAACATGTCGTTTGCTTTGCAATGTGGAATTGCATTCCACACAACAACAACGAATGCAAAGATGAAGAAAAATCATTCTGTTTGAAACTTCGGAGAGTGAAGACGTGTAAATCGTAACTAATTGTAATTGTGCTCTTTAAGTGTGAAATTAAAAATAAATTGGTGTTTTAATAATATAATTGAAATATCGTCACCGAAAACTTAATTAGGCAAGATGCGGAGAACAAAAATGTAAGGAAATATTTCCCCGTCAAAACGGTTGAAGATTTATCTACCCTCAATAACTTTATAGATGAAGACAATCGACTACAAACGTAAGTATTAATTTTCCCCTTTTTAAACGTTGTTATTTTTATTAATTTTTAATTCAATTAATTTGTAATTTATTCACAGGTAAATTCAATGAAGAGGTTAATTAAAGTCAAATTAGAAAAGACGCTGATGGTAATATTAGCAATAGAAATAATAATTTATTTTAACGTGGATGGAACCCATGGAAAAAAAACGTCTAAAAGATTTCCAAAATGTTTTCGAGTGTCTTATGGACACCCTGCGATCACTTCCAGTGGATCCAGAGAAAGAGCTCCGAAGAGCATTGCATATTATTAAAAAAAACGCCAATTCCACGACATATGCATAAAGAAATAACTATAAGTCAGTCATTTATATTAATTTTCTGTGATTAATTATTTTTTTTATTTTTTAACATATAATAATAAATATATTGAATTCTATAATAAAATATATTGAATTCTAAACTGAAAATATATATTATCTAACGTTATTTCAGAGATTCAAACTCTGCAATATTGGTATTATTACAAATTAGCCAAGTTAAGTTAGTAAATAGTTATCTTAACATATACCAACTAATAGTCATTTCGAAAATTCTACATACAAATTAATCTCTTTTAGACCGATGACTATCTGCATTTTTTTAATCTAACTATAAATGCGTCAAAAATAACTAGTTTGTAACCAGTTGAAAAGTTACAGACTACTACCGCGATAATCGCCATGTAAAAATAGTCAGTTGGCCCAAAGAAAAATAATCGATAAATGGACTAGTAGTGACTATTTTAAAGTTAGTTTTAAATTGGTTCATTTCCCTACAGGGCTGGTCTAGGACAGTGATGCACACGGTGAGAGGATGGCAGTTTGTAAATGTATTTGTGAGACGTCAAACATGTGCCTTTCATCGGTGTGAATGAAATTAAAATAATTTAATTAAATAACAAAGTTCGGTATTTTTTACGTCGTCACTATCGCTGTCCATCTTCAATCTTTAAAAACCAAATTCGAAATGAAGTTTTGTTGATTTTTTTGTGGTCTAGGAACTTCACATCGATCAAACGTACATGTTTGACGTGTTTGGGCCGCTTAAGCGTAGCCGCAAAATGATGCACACCACCATAGACATGTATATTCGTTGAAGTCGCAACGACGACTAAACAAATAAGCGTAAGAATCCGTGTGAGTTGAGCTGACCGCTAGAGTGCAAGGTCGTGCATCCCTGGTCTAGGACCAATATTTCGCGGCGTTACAAACTCTTGAGGTTGCACAAAGCTATAATACCCTGACAACATAGTTGTATAGGTTATAAAAATCCTTGAGAAAAAAATTGAAAAAACGCACGCATATTTATAGGCCTAGAAAAATATGTTTAAAAAAATCCACGCCTATTTATAGGCCTTAAAAGTTGCATATTTATAGGCATTGAAAAAAATATTTTTTTTTTATAGGCCTTGAAAGGAATTTTCTTAAAAAATCCACGCCTCCGGTTAGTCTCTAAAAATATTTTTTAACAACGTCAATGGTCAGTTCTTAAAAATTCATGCCTATGGTTAGGTTCTTAAAAATATATGAACATTTTTTCAAATATTATCATATTCCACAGACCTCAAAATCCGCTCCCACCTAATGTGCGCTTCATTTGAAAATTTTAATTTATTCATATTCCCTCACGATTTTGTTATTGAAACCAAACACACACAAAATCTTCAACACCCATTATTCAAATTCAATTATGCTGTCACCTCACAGACTCCGACATGATTGAATTCTACAACTTAAAAAAAGATATATTTAATTTAGATTAATTTAATCATAAATTTGTAATTTTATGTTTTTTTTTAACAATGGCACCCAACTTAAAAAAATAATGGCGGGGAGGAGAAAATTCATTCCAACAATGTTTTGATTAGTTTAACTGATTTACGGTTAAATATAACAAGTTATTATTTAATTACGTATTGTTTTTGTATTTTTTTTTTCAAAAATTATTAATTATATATCAATGACAACAACAACAACAACAAAGACAAAAGTAGAAGAATCAATTTGCATGCCAGAACCACCTGCTGTCGTCTAACTGGCAGCCAGGCTGCACGGCAGGTTGTTGATGTCGTAGCACCAAAATAATGAAATGTTATCGAGCTCTGACATGTTGGGGGGTTTGTTTGAAGGTTGGTTTGATTGCCAACATCAATTGCAAAAGAGACAACGACAAGTTCAATGGAAGTAAGTTTGAATGTCTTTTTCATTGATGGATTTTTTTTATTTTGGTCATTTGACTTGTATGGCCGTGATGTTGTTGCATCCAACTTACCTGATGATAACTGTCCGATGTTATGTCACCATTTGAACGATCGGCTATCTTTTCGGGATGATTATGGGTCATATGGTCCCATATCGATTCACCTTTGTCATCGGCATTCCAACCACCCTCGATTTGATACGATGAGGATCCAACACCCCAGAGGAAATCTTTGGGAAAATGACGAGGATTTAAATCGAATGAGGAGGTACTGGAAACAAAAATAAAAAGGAAATTGAATAATAATAAAAGGAAATAAAGGAATAATAAATAAATAAATGAAGGAAATTAAATAATAATAAATCAGTGAGCGGAGCAGTATAGTCGGACGTGGCCAACCATATGATACCCTACACAACTACCACGGAACTCTAACTTTCTGCGGATTTGTATTCCAAGTCTGGTCAATATTTAATGATAGTTGTATCCTCCTGCCAGATTTGAGGTCAACAGCAGCCCTTCCTTACACTGACATATTTTCCGAATATTACTAATATTCTGTACAGACCTTCTAATTACTTGTCCATATTCCCTTCACCGTGGGTTGTGTGGCGGTGTTCGGCTTATAATTGTTGCCTATAGACCGACTCGAAAAACAGAAACAAATTAGTTTTCGGTCCACTTCATCCCAAAATTATTATCTGATCATCACCGAAAATTATAGGCATTGTTCTTGACCATACCTGGATCCTCATGGAAAATTTCAAATCGATCATTGCTATATTTCCGCCCTCTAGTGTGGTAATGAGTTACTAAATAATATCTCAGTACGTAAGCACCTGTAAATATTTAAGTGTAACTCTCACATCTGAATACATACGACCATATAATTGTTATCACTTTAAAGTTCAACCAGCCCTCTTGGATATACTATCAACTTCTCGGGTCTATGTCCTTCAGGGATTGATATGTTCTCCATAGAATACAAATTTTGTAATTTTTCACATTTTTTTGACACGCTAAATATTGATCGATCTTCTTTCGTGAAAATTCGTCCATAACTGTGGCCTGTATCGTGTTTACAATTTATAATGGGCAGACGGACTGACGGACACACATGTCTAGATTGCCTCAGCTAGTCGAGATATGACGATCGGTATACTTAAAGGTGGGTCTAGGACCAAACTCTTGGGGCTGTACAATGCTATAATACCCTGACAACATAGTTGTGTAAGGCATAAATATAAAAGGAGTGGCGGCGATTTTTTAAAAAAATCTATTTATACCCTTCACCACACAGTGGTACAGGGTACTATGTCTTTGTGCATATGTTTGTAACAGGCAAAAGGAAATGAGGTAGATACATGGTTCCTTTTGAGAATATGCATAGGATCACTTTCCGAGTCGATTTATGCATGTCCGTCTGTCTGTCCATGTTAAATTGTAAACAAAGTACAAGGTGGATGAAATTTGGCACAGTTCATTCTTTTGGCCCAAGGACGAATCCTATTGAAATTGGAGAAAATCCGTTCAGATGTAGCTCCCATATATAGTTTTGTCCGATTTAAGGTAATTGGTGCATCAAAGTCCCTATATATCTTCCGATTTGCACGAAATTTGGCATAGTGTACTAAATTAAGTCTAGAATGACGTGTGCCAAGATTCGAGAAAATCGGTTCGGATTTCTATATAGCTCCCATATATATTTTCGTCCGATTTAAGGTAAATGGTGCACCAAAGTCCCTATATATCTTTCAATCTGCACGAAATTTTGCGTAGAATAATAAATTAGGTCTAGAATGATGTGTGTTAAGTTTCCTGAAAATCGGATCAGATTTAGATATAGCTCCCATATATATTTTCTTCCGATTTAATGTAAATGGTGCACCAAAGTCTCTATATATCTTTCAATCTGCACGAAATTTTGCGTAGAGTAATAAATTAGGTCCAGAATGACGTGTGCTAAGTTTCACGAAAATCGGTTCAGATTTAGATATAGACCCCCAATATATAGTTTTGTCCGATTTAAGGTAAATGGTGCACCAAAGTCCCTATACATCTTTCGATTTGCACGAAATTTGGCATAGTGTACTAAATTAATTCTAGAATGACGTGTGCCGAGTTTCGTGAAAATCGGTTCAGATTTACATATAGCCCCCATATATATTTTCGTCCGATTTAATGTAAATGGTGCACCAAAGTCCCTATATATCTTTCGATTTGCACGAAATTTGGCATAGTGCACTGAATAAGGTCTAGAATGATGTGTGTTAAGTTTCCTGAAAATCGGTTCAGATTTAGATATAGCTCCCATATATATTTTCGTCCGATTTAATGTAAATGGTGCACCGAAGTCCCTACATATATTTGGATTTGCACAAAATTTGGCACAGTGTAATGAATTAAGTCTAGAATGATGTATGTTAAGTTTCCTGAAAATCGGTTCAGATTTAGATATAGCTCCCATATACATTTCCGTCCGATTTAGAGTAAATGGTCCACCAAAGTCCCTATATATCTTTCGATTTGCACGAAATTTTGCATAGAGTAATAAATTAGTTCTAGAATGATGTGTGTTAATTTTTGTGAAAATCGGTTCAGATTTACACATAGCTCCCATATATATTTTCGTCCGATTTAATGTAAATGGTGCGCCAAAGTCCTTATATATCTCTCGATTTCCACGAAATTTCGAACAGCGTAATGAATTAGGTCTAGAATGATGGATGTTATGTTTCCTGAAAATCGGTTCAGATTAAGATATAGCTTGTTATTCCTAGTAGAGACGACTGGAAACGAAGTAACCCTTCTCTGGACGGTCTGGCCTTCTATACAGACGGATCCAAGATGGGAGAAGGTAGAGGGGCAGGCGACTACTGTAAAAGGCTAGGCCTTGAGTTAACCTACAAGCTGGATTGCAACTGTAGTGTTTTCCAAGCTGGAGTCTTCGCGATCTGGAAAGCAGCGGAATTGATAAAAAGTTTGAATGCAGAGGTCGTTGAACCGGTGACTATCTTTGTGTATAGTCAAGCTCTTAAAGCTATCAAATCTTGTTATATCAAATCTGAAGCCGTTCTCAAGTGTAGAGCAGCTCTGGAAGAACTTACTTATAGCTATCGGTTGTGTTGGATACCAGGACATTGTGACATCTTGTGTAATGAAAGAGCGGCGAACTAGAAACTGATGACTCAATCAAACCACCCATATGTCTTTTTTACCGGAACTTTGAGGCATTCTTCGACGAAAGAGCCTATGAACTTTGGCACAACGAACCTATGTGCAACGTGTCAAGATCTATTTGGCCGACTCACTGTTGAACCTGAGCAAAGCTGAAATTAAAGTGATGACAGGAATCATCACTGGTCACTGCAATATCAGGGCTTTGCTAGTAAATGGGATATTGATGCAATTGATTACTGTAGACTCTGTGTTGACGAGGAGGAGTCGGAGACAATCAAGCATCTCCTGTGTCACTGCCCAGCCCTGGCTTACAGGCGGCATAGACTAGTGGGTGCTCATTTTCTACCGAGTCTCAGCTTCTTCTCAACAACCGAAACTGCTCTAATCTACAGCATAATTAGAAACCTATAGTGGTTAGGAACATGCAACATTGACACGTAACACATCTTCTGTCTGATTCCTATAGCCATTGACCTTTATTCCTCTTTCATTTATTTATGTATGCTTCTCAACTCCCGTTATTTCCCTAATCTTCTCTCACCTACAGATCTGTCTTTATCTCTTCTCTTCACGGGCGGACATGGCTATATCGTCTTAGAATTTTACCCTAATCAAGAATATATATACTTTATAGGTTCGGAAATGAATATTTCGATGAGTTACAAACGGAATGACAAAATTAATATACCCTCCATACTATGGTGGATTGTATAAAAAGGGGGTCACCCAAACCTATCCTAGATATAGCTTCTATATCTGACCAAATAAAAAAATTAGTATCGGTTGCAGAATGACATATTTATGGATCCAATTTCATTTTACTGGTCCTTTAAAAATGCGACGTCTGTTAGAATGCATCTGTTGAATATACCCAAAATGGTTGAGGGTATCATATAGTCGGTCCCGTCCGACTTTACTACTTTCCTTACTGGTTATTTATTTATTTATTTATTTATTTTTTTCATGCTGAACTGCTTTAGTCCCATAAATAATTTATAATAATTAATGACGACAACCGCTGACTATATTTATTTGAATTAAACATCTGTTTGTATAAATATAACTGTATACATATATGTATGTATATAATAAATATTGTTTGTAGGCTTGTTGGTAGGCATTTCATATTAAATACAAAAAAAACGTATCGAAATAATTAAGTCAATATTTATAACCACTACTTGCTTTCATATTTTTTGTTGTTGTTGTTTGTGTTGCTGTTTTTCCTTTTAATAACATGAAGTTGTACAACAAATATCGACGAAATTTGCATTTTTATCTGGAGGGTAATTCACATTTTTTTCCAATACCAAAGAGGCGGGAGAGAGAGAGATGGTAGGGGAAGTTGACTAATTTTATCAAGAAATGTTACGATATCGCCGAGACAATTGATCGATCGAATGACATGAAAATTCTGAATAGGCTGAGGTGATTTTCCATCAACACGTGACCAATCTCTGGTCAATCAAATAAAATTATTATTTATTGATAAATTATTATTATATGATTTTTTTTTTTTTTTGGTTTAGGATATGAAAATAAGTTTCCAGTATTTTAAAGTAATTGCCATGTGGGCATGATTTTTAAACAAAAAAAAAAACGATAAGTGGAGCAAGATAAAGGAACGTGGATATTTGAAAAAAATATATAAGTCGGATTTTTAAAAAAAAAATTTTTAAGGACTAAAAATGGGCGTGATTTTTTTAAAGGACTACAAATAGGTCTGGACTTTTTAAAGGACTAAAAATAGGCGTGGATTTTTTTAAATATTTTTAAAGGCCTAGACATAGGCCTGGAATTAAAAATAGGCGTGGATTTTTTAAAGAACTAAAATAGGCCTGGATTTTAAAGGACTACAAATAGGCCTGGATTTTTTAAAGAACTAAAAATAGGCGTGGATTTTTAAAGGAATAAAAATAGGCCTGGATTTTTTAAAGGACTAAAAATAGGCGTGGATTTTTTAAAGGAATAAAAAAAGGAGTGGATTTTTTGAAGGAATAAAAAAGGAGTGAATTTTTGAAAGGGCTAAAAATATGCGTGGATTTTTTGAAGGAATAGAAAAGGAGTGGATTTTTTAAAGAAATAAAAAAA